ATAAGCTACACAAATCATACCTGAAATAGAGGAGTTGAGTCTACTTTAAATCCATCAGAGCCTGGCTGTTTAACTAACGGAATTGCTTCAGGATCATCTATTGCAAGTTTTGCATTAAAAAGCACATTTCCAAAGCTTGTGGCTTGCGTCTCTGGCTGAGCTTTGTCCTATATGGTCATGGAGGGAAAAAGAAGTTTGTAAAACACAGATTCATTTCTTCTAGGAAAACTAGTTCTAATATTTATATGCAATCTATAAAATTGCATAAATTTTATGCAGTCCAGTGTGATATCAAGAGAAAAGACATGAGAAGCAGTTGTGGTCAAATCTGACTTGTGCTACCTTCTATTTAATCTCTTGCCTGAAGAGTTTTTTGTTGAAATACAAGGGGGAAACACTAGAGAAAACCATAGCTACATTTCTAAAATAAAAAAAAACCCAAAACATGAATGTGGTCTGAAATAAAAGAAAGAAGTCTATTTCCCAGTTTAAAGAATCTACCTTTCATTTCTATTAACAGACATTCATATAAATTAGTTTAGATAATTAGATAATCATCTTACTTGAAGTTAACTCTCTAAAAGTTGGGCATCAGTTCTGTAGTCATCTAGGCTTACTCTGTAATTATTTTCAGAAGGGAAATCATCTTGGATATTCTAAGTCAGCTTTAGAGGTATCTCTCTCTCCCTATTGACTACAGAGGCAACCTGTATGACTAACCTCACATTATACACTAAATTTTGGATAGCTAAAGATGAAAAAAATTCCAATTCTTAACTTGCATGTGTCCTAAGACTCCTTCTATGGTTAATGGATATAGACAATGCAGAGAAAAATCCTATCTTGGGATTCTAACTTAGGTCAAACTCTAAATGATTAGAGTTCCCAGAAAGATTGAGAATAGAACCAGGAAAGAGAAAGGTATGATATTGCCTTCATCAGTTCATGTTAACCTGGAGTGTGACTCAAAAATCTGGTGCCATTAAGAACATTTTAAGGAACAGTTGGTTTTAGATAAAAAAGAAGTTAGAAAAAAAATTTTAAAAATGTATATGAGTATCCTCTCACAATTAGAACACTTACCACAATCTTAAACCTGTACAGAAGGGATGGAGAATCAGCAAGGCACCCATATTCAGTGTTGGATGGATTATATTTGGGTACATATCCATCAGCTCCTGTGCATAGGAAAACTTTCTCGATGCTACAGTAGAAGGAATCACCCAAGTTCTGCACTGGATCCACCATCACCCGACCATATATGATATCACCTGCAAAAAGAGCACACAGTTCACATCCGGTTACACTGAAACATTTAGCACAGTACCAAGGCTAAGTTAGTAAGCCTAGTCAAGAAACTTAGTGCAGTGTAATGTGACTATATCCATAGACACCTTGCTACCCAGTTTCCTCCGTAGGGGGTTGTCAAAGTCTATGATCAGAGTGTGCACTCTTCCACGCTCTCTGGGCCACAGAATAGTGGTAGGAGGCCATTTGCCGTTGCTATAAACTGAGCGAGTTCAGGGGCAGCTTTAATTCTGGACTATACCGGGCTTTTCATTCAAAAAGTGACTTAAAAAAACATTACGGACGCCTCTGCACCAGACCAGGGTGTAGGTTTTGGCCTCCTGATAACGCACTTTGCTGAACAGGCAGGGGTTTTTATGCCAGTAGAATCCTGTTCAGGCTGTGTAAGAGTTTACTTATACTTGGTCAGACTGGCATATCGTACAAGAGAAATTAACATTATGGAAAGTCACAGAGATGTTTTCGGAGACTTGGCTCCCTACGGTGTAATTGCATTTCAGCTGTCTGTTAATGTTTAAGATAACACATGCTTGCCAGGCCTGTACAAATAAGCTAGGCCATTGCTATGCAGGCAAGAGAAGTATACTGTGTGCAGCTGTCAGATAAGTATAAGTGGTTAGGAAGGTTGAGAATCTGGAGAAAGAAAGAAGAAATGTTGTGTTGCTTTTACAACAATTTGGAGCAACTGTAGACTTTGAGAGAGAGAGACCAGGTGCCTGCTGTTCAAGAGAGACTGCAAATACATCGCAAAAGACAGTTGCGTATTCAAGGTGCTGGTGCTCTGATAAATAGGCAAAAGAGGCACATGAGGAAAGCAGAGGAATGAAGTGACTGCTTAGGTCCACTGAGAGATGTATCAGTTCAATCAATCTTCCTAGCCCCAGCCTGCTCAGTAGAGGACAGGGAGAAGGAAGAAAGCCTTGATGCTGTGCAAGCACTGTTTGGTAGTAGCCAAAACACTGGCATGTTATCAAGACTGTTTTAGCACAGATGCAAAGCATGGCACCATAGTGGCTGCTATTAAGAAAGTTAACTGCATCCCAGCCAGACCCAGTACACTCATCCACAACAAAAAGACTGTCCAGTATTCGCTTATCAACTAGGAATGTTCTTAATACCAGTCAGTGTTTATAAAGTGCTCAGTTTATGAGAAATGGCACTGGTACTGTAACCCTCAGACAGCAGTTTCAGTGCAGATTGGCCAACAGCTCTGATGTAAACTGCCATGCAGGAAAGGCAAATGCAAAAGAACATGAGCAACAAGCCCAAACCCTTACTCCTATCTCGTTCTGACTGAAACACGATCCTGATAGAGTGGAACACATATTAAATGTGCATGATCTGTGCACAATTATACCTTCTGAGAAAGCAACATCACTTTCTTGCCCAAAGCCCATTGAGCCATCAGATAGCCATAGTGTCTTTTTGGAGAGAAGGAACATCTGGGTGTTCAAGCTGAACTCAGCAGCCACTGGGTCACTGACCTAAAACACAACAGCATAAGGCTCTTCAACAAGTATTATTTAATGACTCTTAAAACACAGCATGATCTTCTCCCAATGTACATTATTTATCAGCTCCGCACATCTACATGCAATAATAGAGTTTAACCAAAAAGATTTCTTTTTACTAGACATATATTGCTATATATTTTACATGCAAACAGCCTTTGGGTTATCTGCCTCTCTGATATTTGATAAGGTTCTAAGTTAGTTTCTTCCCACCACGTTTATCCATACCCCAGCCAAGAAGGTGCCAAAGGCAACTTATGTGTGGGGGTAACATGAGGAAAATATTTCCTTCAATAACTTGTTTCTCTCTGACTCATCACAGCCTGTTTTCTCTATCACATTTTCATTCTTACACCCAAGACCCACCTCTCCTTCTGATCCTCTGCCAGTTATTTGAAAGTGCACATTGCTGAGGATTTATTTGCAAGTATCAGTTCTTCTGATGTGCTGCAGGACATCAGATCATGCATGTGAAAATGCACCAAACCATTTTAGCATCTTTTTATGCTAATATTTATCTTTCTATATTTGACAGTTATCTATGGTTCTTCCTTGATTACATTACAAGAATAAAATAAATCAATACCATCAGCAGCAGGTTCTCATTGGGCCATATAACATAAGTTAGAAGACAAACTATAAATGAACATGGCGACCTTAAAAGGTCCCTTTCAACACGAAGATTCTATGATTCTATAACAAAAAGGAAAGAATATAGTGAACAGAAGAATTGCGGAGAGCCCAAATTTCAAAAGGATGCAGTGTACCTGTGGAAACAATGTGGAAGACACACATTCAAAAAAAAAAAAAAGAACAAGAGGCTACAAAAAAATAAAAAACGTTAACATATATATGTATATTTATGTATGTATATGTATATGTGTGTGGAAAGGAAGGAAGGAAAACAGAAAAGAAAACATTCTTGCTGGCTCATGGACAAGGGGGTGATGGAATGAGATATAGCAGTATCAACAAAGACTACTGCTGCAAGTTATACAGCTGACACATTTATTCTTCAAATCCTTTTTTCACAATGAAGTCCCAAAACTATCAAAGCAACCGGATTTGGCAAGAAGAATGTATAGCTGAAATATTTTTGTAAACCCACTGCTACTCTTCAGAAAGAGCAACCCTACCCCCATAGCCTTTTCACTGAAATAATAATTTTAAAAAAAATTTCTATTCTCTTGGTGTGCCTGAGATTCAGGCTATTGGATTGCAGTCCCACAGCTTCAAATACCTGACTGGCACAACTGGTTTCCAGCTGTGGTTCTGAAAGAGAATCAAGCATGGCCTCATCAAGGACTTCCAGGGCAGAGTAAATGTCCACTGAATAGAAAACAAGAAGTGTGTATTCAGCTAAGGGCACTGGACTTTCGCCACGCAGTTTACAACAATGCTAGAAGCAGTGTCCTGGGTAAATACTGTACATTTATCAATGAATATGTCTCTTAGGCATCTTATTTTAAGTTACTATTTATATTTCAGTTTTACATGTAAGTCTCAGTGCTGCCAGAGGCTGACACATAGCTGTTACTTATGAGAGTAGTTTAAATGTATTTATTTTCATGTGCGTTTGAGGCATTTTAAACAAGAGTCCTTAAAAATTAATCTGTCAGCATCTGTTGGGTGAGAAGAGTACTGTCAATTTATTCTACCTATTTGCCATGTCCATGAACTCTGCATATGGATGATTTGGGGACAATGCAGATCACTCATGGTTGACATCCCCACCTCCATGGGACCAAAGCCCACGAGATACTTGCTACCTCAAGGAGCAGAGAGCTCTTGAGATAGGTCCATCCCTATCAGGGCAGCAAGTATCCTGATTATGGAAGTGGTCTGTCAGGAAATAGTCATGCACATTTAAAGAAAGGAGATGTTGAAAGGACTGGGATAAAGCAGAGCTCGGAGGTTGAATGGTGTTCATGTTCAGGAAATCCCAGAGTGAGACAATGGCAGTACGATCCTCACTAGTGTTCCAGGCTACCAGCTTCCCTCTTCAGCAGCCACAGAGAGAGGAAAAAGGAGATGGGCAGATCCATGTTAAAGAAGGAAATGTTGAACCAAAATCTCCAGAGGAAAGACGCCAAATATATTGCCTTTTTGATGTTTGATTCTTAAAATGGTCCCTCACTTGTGAAGAGTCAAAACAATTGTGAAGGAAATTCGAACAAAAAGTTTCCAAGAAAACTAAAAGCCTCATATTAAAAAGCCCAAGAAGATAATTCAGTATAGCATCTGGAGCACTAGAGTAAGAATTGGGAGAAACAACTCCTGCCCTGTCCCATCATTTCATCATTAGACTTCACAGTAAAAGTCATTCTGGTCCAGCTGTGACACATGCACTCACTGACTTCATAGAATCATAGGATGGTTTGGGTTGGAGGGCACCTTTAAAGATCATCTAGCCCAACGCCCCTGCCATGGGCATGGACATCTTCCACTAGATCAGGCTGCTCAAAGCCCCATCCAACCTGATCTTGAACACTTCCAGGAAGGGGGCATCCACAACTTCTCTGGGCCACTTGTTCCAATGTCTCACCACCCTCATTGTAAAAAATGTCTTCCTTATGTCCAACCTAAATCTACCCTCTTTCACTTGCCCCTTGTCCTGTCACTACAGGCCTTGGTAAAAAGTTCCTCTCTGTCTTTCTTATAAGCCCCCTTTATATACTGGGAGGTCACAGTGAGGTCTCCTTGGCCCATTCTCTTCTTCAGGCTGAACAACCCCAACTCTCTCAGCCTTTCTTCATAGGAGAGGTGTTCCAACCCTCTGACCATTTTGTGGCCCTCCTCTGGACCCACTCTAACAGGTCCATATCTTGCTTGCACTGGGGACCTCAGGACTGAATGCATTGGGCCTGTGCGAGGTATCAGTTGTTTCCTAGTCTAAGGACCAGTGTCACAGTCTGACCTTTCATGCTCACTTCTCTGTCTTTTGTTTCCTATTTCTAAAGCAGCGGATACCAATGTTTATTCTGTTTTGCAGAGTGACTAGAAAATCTTAGAGGTAAAGAGCTAGATACAGCCTATTGAACTTGTGCTACTGCACTGCTGCTAATTGCTGCTTTTTTGGGACCTGCTTTGAGTCCACATAGTCTTTCAATCTATGATCAAAGGGAACAACATCATGGGCCAAAGAATTTCCTGCATTCCTTTTACTATGACTATCTCAAGAATATTGGTTGGTTTGAAAATTGCTGGTGATGGAGGGCTAACTGGCCACAGTCCTTGGTGATTATAACACTGTTGCAATTTTGTACCTTATCCCTATTTTGAATTGATGTACCTGAAACTTCCATAGACTGTATTATTAAAGCTTTATCTGATATAATGACCCCTATAGTATCCATATATCTATTCCAAGGCAGTTCTTAGTCTTACTCATACTTCTTAGTTCTTAGTCATAAGCTTCTTCCAGGTAAGAGTTAAGTCTCTAGGATCAGACACAAGCTGTAGTTTAACATTGCTGTGAGTTGCTTTAGAGTTCCTAGAAGCAGACTAGAAATGCCTGACAAAAGCTGAAGTGCTGAACTAGTATAAATTCCCCTCACCCTCTCCATTCAAACCTTTTCAAACTGTTTCGCTGGTTAACTCTGGGAAGGCAGGTTTCATGTCAGATCACCTATCATCTCTCTGCTTCGCCAGGACTTAATGCCATATCAGGAATCATCTGTTCTCCTCATCTGTTCTGCCATAGCTGGTATAATGCCAAATGAAAGCGTAAAGACTGCATACATTCCCTTGTGTACTCTGGCTAATTCAACAGGAAAGTGATTGTGTATCCCTGACTGATCCGGATCAGATTTATACTGTAAGATGATTTAATAGCATACATCTATATTATTAATGAGCATGAAACCACAGCTACACTGTTCCAGTATTAGTTGAATTGGCTCCAAATAACAGAAATGATATAACTTCCTCCTTACACATCCCAAGGTCATGCTAGCTTTTTTGATAACATTGTAAAGTGGCAGTTTATGTTTTGTTAACTATCCAACATGACTCCCAGATATTTTTTAGTCATGCTTTCTACAGCAGGGTCCATTTCTCATATTTTTTTCCCAGCTAAAGAGCTTTACAGCTGAGTTTTGTGTATGTTGTTTGCCTGTTCCCCTGTTCCCCTAGGATCCACATTGCTATGGGTGGGATTTGTCTCACTCTGTGAGTCTTAAAGCTAAGCATTTTACCAGTGTTGGCTATCTCCTCTTCCTCTATAGTCAGTGAAGGAAATCCTGCCTTAGGACTGAATGAATCTTACTCTGGAGGTCCCATTTTTAATACCAGAGACCTATCTCTGACCTTTGTGTCAGATGAAAACCTTCTGATAATATTTGCCTAATTATGTGATAAAAATCTTTCACACCAAAGCCAACAGACAAGTAAAGAATTCCTAGAGGGTAGTTTATATTACAGTTACTATCTCCCAAAGCGATGTCGATGAGCTTCCTATTGGCTATCAAAGATTGTCCATGCATTGAGGACAAAAATACATTTGTCCTCCTACATTAGCCTTTCCCAGTTGGGTAAAACTGGTTAAATAGCAGGAGAGGAGTATGTGTTATCCCACCAATTCAGGAACTGGTTTGTTTATAAGCAAATAAATTCAGTTTCTTGCACTATCATTATAAGAACAACAAAGGCAATTTGGGAATCAAACTGAAAAGGAGACATGATGAAGGTATCATTGGGGTGGTACCTGCTGGAATCGGATATCCAGATCAAATGTGATAGGCTCTCTGGGATTGCAGATCACTGGTAGGCTGTACTCCTGATGTGCAGCAGTGGTACAAGCTATCAACTTCACAGTGTACATTCCAGAATAGTCTCGAACCTGAAGAAAGAGAGAGAGAGAGGTGTTCCACCAACATCCTCACAAACAGGCTGGGGCAACAGAAGACACAGTGAAGGCTGAGGTTTTACCGCAAAATCTGAAACAAAGCTCCACTGCTGTACTGGCTGGTTGTATGTTGGCTCACTTCGGATCAGGCTGAGGCTAAATGTCAGGCCCGGGTGATCAGCTGACATAACCATGGAAGTTAGAGATGAAGCTAGAAACATGCCAAGAGACAGGTTTGTCACCTTTAGTGTTTCACTGCAAATTCTCAGAGCCTGAAACGCATTCCCAATAATTCATAAATCATAATCGACCACAGCTGATGTTAATACCTTTACAGGGCACTGGTTTTTATTAACTGAAACTAACAAAATCAATTACAGTCAACACAGCTGGGCCCCCTTGATTCCTATTCAAGTGTCTATTAAACAGTTGCTTTTGGGCTACGCTACCAGAACTGTATGAAGATTAAATTTAACAGACAGGCAAAACAGTGAGAGTGGAATGACAAAGATCTATAATCCCTCCTGTTTTAAACTTGGAATGTCAGCCCAGGGAACACAAAATAATTTCTCTTAGCCATGTAACTCTTTCGGCTCTGCCTGATAAGCAAAGCCTAACATGCTAAACAACAGCTGAGAAAAAGTAGAAGCACTATGAAGGAGTTTTATAGGTTAATAAAACTGAGTTAAACTAAAAGAGATTTCTTAAAATGATTTTTTTCCCTTCTTATTATTGTTCAGGAGGTTTAATTTAGTTTAGATAATCTTTTCCATGGCCGGTATTCATGCTCAGGTTTATGCCTATAGACAGTCTCACCCCTGTGATTATTCTGAATAAAGGCAGTGGGGTTTAAACAGATTAAGTTGCAGAATCAGATCCTCAGCAATGACTAATTGAATGGCAATGAGAATGTTTTATTAACAGAGTGATACAATGCTCATACAAGACCTTTTCTTACTCTCTGAAAAAGGTCTAAATAACCTAGAAAGGCTTCAAGTCAGAAAACAAATTTTAATGTTATCTAAGTTCCTAGGGCAACATAAGTGAATAGCTAATCATAGCTTTTGGATTAAAGATATATATTTATAGTTCCCTAGTGGACAGAATGGCCTAGATCTTCATCTTTCATAAATCAGGCTCTTGATCAAGTGGAACTATCTGCTTTCCATCAGATTCATGCATATTTCATTAAGTTTGAAAATATAAATACATTCATCAATAACAAGTAGAAAATCCCAAGTAGAGGAAAAATCCTTATCTGAAGAGCACAGTACATAAAAAATTCAAGTATCAGTAGCAGAAATAAGAAAAATTAATAGTATAAAATTTGGGGGGGGGGTCTTTGTTTTTATAGTACTGCTAAAGCGTAGATTAAGCTTACCAGGATGAGACATCACAAACAGACCATGAAACCGAGCTTCAGTCTTGAAGTTGACAACCAAGCGCCCCTCTTCACTAATACGCATGCTGGTTGGGTACAGGGAACCTGGCAGCAGAAGTCAATTCACAAGGTTTATTCCACTAGCAGATGACAAATAAACCACACTCCTACGAAACACCAGCCACACTCT